AATTTTGGTGAGTATTTTTGTTCGTCGCAATCAGCCGACAATTCAGGTATGTCGACCAGCTATTAGGAAGAGTATTAGACGGCCGTTTCGCCCTATTGGGGCTCATCAGTGGTGCGCATCCTTCGGTCCTCTGCGGGGGATCGAACCCATGACTGCTAGTGGCTCTTGCCAACTAGCCTGCAGCTTATGCAACTGCGCCATGGAGGACGGTATCTGACTATCTTGAATTGTTAGCTAAATGCGATATAGCCTGACTCATCCTCCACTGCCATGCAGGCACCTGCCATGCAGATGACAGCGGTCGGCCTTCCGGCGTCAGGACTTCCCGGTTACGGCAGCTATGAATCGACATAGCATTTTGTGGAATCCGTACGGGCAAATTGGTATTACTTAGCTAAAAATTCATGATAGTCAGATACCGTCCTCCATGACGCAGTTGCATAAGCTGCAGGCTAGTTGGCAAGAGCCACTAGCAGTCATGGGTTCGATCCCCCGCAGAGGACCGAAGGATGCGCACCACTGATGAGCCCCAATAGGGCGAAACGGCCGTCTAATACTCTTCCTAATAGCTGGTCGACATACCTGAATTGTCGGCTGATTGCGACGAACAGAATAAGTTGCAGTTGTTATGCTTGCGTATCCACGATTCTCCTGGAGTCGACAACATTTGACCGAAGGCTGTGCAAGTAGTAGTTTTGATCTAGCAGAACCACTGGCCGTCTTCTGTCAGCCATGTCTCAAGCAGTTTCATATTCCACCAGTATAGAAGCCAAAGGTCATCAGTCCTACGCATAAAGGAGGTAGCCGCACTGACCCTAGCAACTACCGTCCAATAACACTACTTCCTGTACTGTCCAAACTTATGGAATCAATCAACGCAGATGCACTGATGCAGTATCTGGAAAGTCACAACTTAATAGCCCCGGAGTAACAAGACTACCGTCAAAAGCGTTTATGCACAACTAACCTATTAATTGCACTCAATAGTTGGACTGAAGCCGTTGATGATGGAGCAGGAGTCGACGTCATCCACCTGGACTTCTCCAAAGCATTTCATCGCTTAGAGCATCGAATTCTACTCCACAAGCATTGGCATTGGCGATCCAATTCTGAGTTGAATAAACAATTTTCTACACGAACGCCGTTTGGATGTCAGAATCCGGGAATCTCTGTCCAATGTAACTGATGTGGAGTGTGGTGTACCACAAACCTCGGTGCTAGGAACTCGTCTATTTTTAGTGTTCATTAACGATTTGGCAAGATCAATTGCTTCCGAATTCCTATTTTCATGATCAGAGAACCGGACGATCACGAACGGCTCCAGAGAAATCTTAACGCGGTGTCAAACCTGTAAGTTCAAAACACTCTGTACTTCATAGTAGACCAATGCCGCATTGTGCTAGTACGCCAGAAACATGACTACACCCATTTGTTTGGGGCACACAATTTGCAGACCAGCTCCCAAGAACTTGACCTTGGCGTGCTCGTACAGAGAGTGTTCAAAACAGGCTGCGGTATCTGCGAAAACCGGTAACCAGCACGTCGGCATGCTGCGAAGGGCATTCGGAAGATTTGACCCATGAATCTTTGCAATGATGCACAATTCTTACGTGCGCCCTCACGTTGAATACGCTATCCGCGCTTGGAAACCTTGGTTGAAGCGCGACCTAGAGGTAGTAGAGGTACCACAATGAAGAGCAACAAAGAATGTACAGGGCTCTCGCTGTCCCTCTTACCACCGAACACTGAAGTTGCTGGGTTTTCAGCATACGCTACCGAAGGCTATGCGGAGATCTCAAATCAGCGTACCAAATAGTGTATGACCCCAACCAAGTATGTCGCCATTTGCTGAAACTTAGCCACAACACGCAGCTCGGTGTTAACTACTTGAAATTGTAGGAACAATATAGCCGTATAGAGTGTCGACGGAATCACATTTTCCTTAGGGTTTGCCAACCCTGGTACTCCCTCCCACACTTAGCTGTATTCTCCCCTATTTGGATATGTTCAAAAGGCGATTGGATGTTGCTCTTAGCTTCCAATCCTCTGTTACCTAAGTTACGCTATTTCGGATTACGCCAATCATGCCCTTCTGCCGGATTTATGTGTCACTTGGATCCTAGAAGGCGGTGCGCAAATGAACGACCATATTATGATTTTCTCACACTTTACATCAACGGCCACTGCATTCCGTGTATTTGCGCATGCTTACACTTTATTTTTATTTTACACTGGCATTATGTATCAACACATTTATCTCGGTAAACGCTCTGTAGATGACCCACATATATTTTAATTTCATCGTATTCACCCCAACCATCCTACGGGACGTGTCAAGCGCTTGCTTTTATCCCGCGCTAAAACATTGCTCATCATTCTTCACTGTTCATCGTTAGGGAATTCAGCATCCCATCTGTTCCTTCAACACAACTGAATCCACTCTGACACAAGAACTGGTGTGCACAATACAATCTGCTCCTGGTAGGCGACGCTTCCTTCCTGAAATGGAGGTAGTGGTAGAACCTGGGTTCAGTCGATGCTGGTAACTTTGACCGCATGGAAATTACTCCATATGGCAAGGAGTAGGCACGTCGTAGTCCTCAGCGTAGAAGTATCGCATTTAAATGATATTCCTCTGAGCATGGTCTGCTTAATTACCATGGCTACCAACTCCCGCGTTTCTCCATTATCTTGCTTGCAATCAATTCCCATTCATCAGCCGGATAATCGGTCGAACAAATTCTCATAACACGACTGACTGGACTTTACAATTATCTACTTGTTCCTCAATTATACGAACCTATTGAAACGCACATGTTTGGCCCGACCACGTTGCTTTCTGTAAACGGACCTCTTAACATACCCGTTTTCTCTGTGGCTCATGAGGTCATTCAAACAAAGGGAGGTATTTCTGACGTCATGTTTTGTAAGAGACCCTCAAGTTAGTAATTCGGTACCTGACCGGTACCGAATGCCAGTCGATGCGATGAACATATTGTCAAAATGCTCTCAGTCTAGAGTTAATATTATCGTAGTTGAGCCGTTTCTTTGAGTACACTTCTTCTTACAACGAGTAAGCTGAAGCGTCCAGAACCACTGTGTAGTTGATAGAAGCAGGGTCTCCCAGGCAAGTCTGTCATACGAGAAATACTCTAGATTTTGTGAGGAGCCGAACTGGACGTCATAGTATCGGTTGGTGGAGAAGTCCGCATCAATGTGAATTCATTACTTGATGTTCTGTTGCGTCCAACGTTCGCAGTTTACTCCGTTTCATCGAGGGGATAGCAAAGAACGGAAGATGAGGTTTCTAATATTCACAGAGAGCTGAGGATCGAGTTTATAAAAGGTTTAAGCAAAACAACCTAATGTATTTATTTGCTCTTTACATCCAGTCAAGTGACCTATTCACAGCATGTCACGGACTCTTAGTAGTATTGCAAAGAACTGCTGCCAGAATCCGACGCAACGGATCACTTGTTAGCCGTGCCAATGAATCTCCCATAGCAAGAAGTATATAATGCTGTCGATCACCTCGAAAGCTGAAGTCAACGAAGGTGTTTCAGAGGGAAATTTCTATCAGAGCACTCTCTGTATTCCAGTAAGCGCATTAGGCGCATCCGTACAAACCGAACTCAGCAGCAGTACCCCGAACCTGCATTAACTGTGATCAAAACAACGCACGATGCTCCTTGGTCAGTGTTTTCTGTCCATTCTTTACGAGGGTAAGGAGGGCCTCAGTAGTACGCCGGTTCACAGTACCGTCGCTTCGCTACCACGCAACCACCACCAGTCGCACGTGGGCTAAGGATACTGTGAGGCTCGCCTGCTCCCCTAGGCCGACTGGAACTCGCGCCCTCGGATTACAAGGCAGGGTTTTGATCCTTAGGGCTACGGGCCGGTGTAAGTGATTAATCGACGAACGCTTATCCAATCAGTTGCAAGCTGGACGTGGGTGCAATGGTGAGAATGTAGGAACATCCGTTAGAGCACAGTAGCGGTAACTTCCAGGGGGTTCAGAACAGTGACTCAGCAGCTTTTGATAGTTTGAAATGGATAGTTACGACCCGAGGAATTTCATAATACTGCGATGGTTCCAAATGGCTCTTACCGTTTGTATGCCATCAGCTATCTCCCATCTGCCTGACCTATAATATTCACGAACGGTTGCATAAGATTCTGTAAGTAGTGCAACCTTTGGGCTTCGCACTGCGTTTCGGTTGTGGGCTAGAGACACCGATTCGTGGAAAGCCCGCACAACGCTTCTCTCAGGCAGTGCTTGGACAACGCCCACCGTAGGAACGGCTCTTAGGGTGGGAGCACAGATACGGAAGCCCACTGGCCTTAAGCAGTACCTGTAAAATTAGCAGGTAGTTTCTATCCATCTTCGGTTTGTACCCCGGCACGACTTTTGTTATGATGCCATCAAAGTAAGGTTGGTTTTAAATACAGGCAGTGTCCATCCTTGTCAGAAGTACAATTAAATGCGTATGGGGCTCACTGAAACCGCCTCGTAATCTACAAATTAAGGCATAATGACAGTTATTCTGTGCTACGGACGACCGACAAACGCCCACTAAACAACACATTGCACGACAACCACTTGAGGAGCGCATTGTCTTATCAGGGTCGAGTCTGAAATTAATCTAGTCGGGAATTATGCGCGTTTATCAACCAGCGACGTCGTCCAGGTGATAGGTTTGCCGATTTGCACGAAACAGCAATGCGGTGGTTGGAAGCGCCTTATTCAATGTACCAAACGTAGGCATTTCAAAGGATCCCACACAACACATGTTGCACCAGGCGGTATACTAACTTCACTTCATAACGCACAGACAATTTGCCATGAACTTTGGTGCCTTGCGAGTTTAATGCTGTGTTTCATCGTCCGATCACATACCGAAATTGCCACCCATTTGTCTAATTTCATGCATTCTTTCCCCCTTGGATCTGTCTATGGTGCAACTGAGTTTACCAACTATCAGGTTTGAACAGCCTTTTAACACCACTCAACATCTTTCCTTGTTTGTGTTATGACAGGATGCATTCAGAAGTACATTTAAAAGTGCATCGCACTCAGGTGAACATACACAATGGACGGGCGAGATGGAAGATCACCGATTGTTGGGAAGGCAACTAAGGCAAACCAAGAGGGAAATTATGTCAGTGAGCAGACCAGTTAGTACCGTCGTCATACAATGCCACCTTGTCATTCTGTCTGCGTTATCATCTTACTACTCCAATCTTTTGCAGAAAGATCGCTGATGATTGGTTGCGCTTCCTTCGAACCCAACTCCTATTGACACGATTCGTATCTCGACCAATGTCGCCAGCAAGAATGCTACAAATTTCAGTGAGTTTGATGAGCAAACTGCCAGAATTTTATGATGTGCTCAGCAAATTATGAAGCCGGTCAAAACAAAACTGCTACACTTTAACAACTAAGGATATGTTCACTTAGTTCGTGGCGAGCTTCATTAAGATTTATCCTAGACATGTTTGCATTACAACATTTAGTGTACTTTGAATCGGACCTCCTTTAACTCAGCCACGGGGATCGCATCTGACGTGTGAAGATCTGTGTGTCTTGACCCTAGCGTCGCGCTTCAAGGTCGGCTGGTCCTTATTGGGCGATCCTGACATTCCGCTTATCGTCTCTTGCCCTCCGGCTGAAGTACTAAGCTGCCGGGCCGTGCGATCAACGCTCGCTGCTGTTGAGTCTTCGTCACCGCACCAGTTCCCGCTTCCCCCCACCCCAGTAACAAGCACCGTAGATGACAACTGTTTCGTGATTGGGTGAAGGTTTGCCTATCGATTGCCATCGAAATCGAAGTACCTGCGTCTGGGCTGTGAACGTTCACATTTTAGTCACATGCTGCTGTGTGTGTTCCTCGTGAAACGTTCTTGCTCCATCAGTTGGTGGAGCGCCAAACAGGCAGATGGGCCTAGTGCGACACAGCATTGACAGCTGCCAGTGTCATAGTTGATGGCAAATAAGCTTCGGTTCGCTTTAGTCTCACGTGTTCGGATAGCAACGTGTAACCACTTCGGATTAGGGTTTATTTTTGTGTAAGCCTCAATCATCTCATTTATCGGAGCTGCAAACAAACCGGCGTTGGAGCTTAGGCTGATATGTGGTATTGTGCCTTCTCGCTTCAGCTGGATCTGAAGTTAAAAGGGATCTTTTCCAGTTAAGCCCCGCCACTAATGCAAAAAGAGCACGCGCAAAAAGTTAAGCCCCGCCACTAAGGCAAAAAGGGTACACCTGAAAAGTCAAGCCCCACCAATAGTGCAAAAAGGGCACGCGTGAAAAGTTGAGCCCCGCTACTGTTTGCCAGCTCCAGTGTACGTAATGCATATGAACGTGTCCCATAAAAACACTCCTTATCCGCTTCTAAGGTCATTTTTGTCCAAAAAGTTTCTACGTTCACACGTAAAACCTGACATGAACTTTCTGACGCTTTCGGCGGTCGTTCATGACAAGGAAACAGCAATACGTTTTTTGCAAAGCCATGGAGTGATTCATCATCAACATTTATGCAGACGAGGACACCAAATGACACTTTCAACTGTTTCTGACAGGTGGAGGTGTGATGCCCGACAATGTCGGCAAGAAATCGGTCTTCGAAAGGGAACTTGGCTGCAGCGGTCTAGGATGGATTTCAGGACAATAATCCTATTCATTTATTGCTGGTCCGAAAATCTGACAACAATCAAATTCTGCTCAGAGGAGTTATCTATTGGCCACGCGACCGCTGTCGACTGGAAGAACTTTCTGCGTGAAATTTGCGCCTGGCAGCTTTTGCAGACTCCAACGATTGTCGGCAGCCCAGGTCTACATGTCGAGATCGGTGAAACCCTAATATCACGTCGTAAAAACCATGCAGGGCGAGTCCTTCCCCAGCAGTGGATTTTCGGAGGGATTTGCCGGGAGGCTAAAGAAGTGTTCTTGTATGCAGTGCCAGATCGAACTGCGGCCACTCTGCTGGACACAATCCAGGCCTGCATCGCTCCCGGCTCAATTATCATTTCCGATATGTGGGCATCATACCAAAGCATTGAATCGATGATTGGCATGAGTTATACTCATCAAACGGTTAATCATACCGAAAACTTTGTGGATCCAACGACTGGAGCCCACACACAAACTATCGAATCTCTCTGGCACATTTACAAGATGCAGAATAAGCGCCAATGCGGCACACACCGATCTTTAGTGGACAGCTACCTGTGTGAGTTCGTTTGGAGGCAAAGACACCGAAAAATGGACCTTTTCATGCAAATTATTAATGACTTGTCTCAATTTCACCCTCTTCAATAGAGAGTAAAAGTTCAAGTTCCATTTCCTCCCTTTTCATAATCTTTTTTGGGTGGCGGGGCTTAACTGGAAAAGATCCGTTAAAAGTTGGGTTCGGAGTACCCGCCGTGGGGGTGAATTGCCACACGCAATCTGTATTGAGATCGGTCATTCCGATCACCAGGACTGTGTCCGAAGTCGAAGGGTTTAGGTGCAGCTACTCCCAACGCTGACACCGCACGGCCGGTTTCATCCTCTTTTGGACTCATCAGATGGAGATAGCATGAGACGGGGTGGAACTCGGGGCCTAGTGGTTCACGACTGTCAGCTTGGTCAATGGTATAATGGGAAGAAAAAAAGCCGAAGCTTGACATGTCCCGTGGGATGATCAGTTAGAGATGAGCAAAATAAAGGCAAAAGTAGCAATAGGAAGTAGTGAACAGCCGTAAATTGCGAGTTTGTCAGTTACAGCGTTCCCGTCTGAACAGTTCCCACTTGATGTCAAGTTGTATCCAAGATTATCCTCTGTGGCTTCCCGGCAAAAATGGAAGCATATTGGTTTGTTCTTGTTTTTCTACTGTTTGTATGGGTCGTTTGGATTACATGATATGGTGTACTATGGCCAATGCGCCGTCGACAAGTGCTTTGAACACGGCTAACGTGGGAGCTGAAATAACAGCTTCTGAGAGGATATTTCACGTATGGCAAATACGCACCGAGAAGAAATTTCTTCGACACTCCGACCGACTGTATTGTTCTGCCAATTTCAGATGATGAGCTCTCATGATTAGGTCACCACGCAAACGCCAATAACGTCCGCTGAAAATGCCAAGCACTGTGAGGCGCTGTTCGTATGACAAGTGGCGCAGCCCCTTGACATTTTTGGTCGCCCGACGTTACGGAATCTCTAGAGCCGTGAGATCCCGCTTTAGCCATGGGTACCAGGTTTGAATTGCATATTCAACATGAGGGCGTAAGTAAGCGGAAGTCTTTGGCAGCAAATAA